GTGTTTAGGGGTGCTTGTGTGTAGGGCGTATGCACACAGGGGTAGGTAATATGAAGTTTCAAGTTCATGTTGAATTTGTGTGCCTTTGAGTGATAATTTTCTGACTGTTAGATGGTTTTCCACCTATTAGATCCAGTTCTCCAGTGAGTGAAATCTAAATCCAACTTTCCAATCTTAGTGAAATCTGAATCCGGCTTTCCAATCTTTGAACTGTTGAAGGAAAATGATTATGAAAGTGCAAACTCATGTTGGCTCAATCTTGCAGCATCTTTTGTCGAACAATATTTGATAAAGAATCATATAATATGCAACCTCGCGGTAGACGTGTGAGTAGAAGCCAAAGAGAGGCGCAATCCAAGTTGGAGTCACAACAGAAGTCTAAATGTTTCATGATCTCATTCACCATCAATATGATTCGTCTCATCGATCACTTCACTTTCATTATTTTTTTTCAATGATCTATCATCTTTTACATTCTTTTCATCAGCATGATGTATAAACTAACAATATCCGAACCATTCAATCAATCATACGTTCCAATCAACTCTTGAATCACGATCGATCGCATCGCATCACATCACATCACATTGCAAAGCAATAATATTACCAAAAATCTCTTAACTAAACCCCAAGACTTGTAATTATGAATTACTAAAGCAAGCATTTGTTCATAACTTTGCTTCTTTGCCATGAAAACCCTATTTCATAGCTCTCAGTGAAGAATGATAATTCAAATGGGCATCCCACAAACTCTTCAAAGGAAATAAACGACAAAATAATTTAAGGATATAACGGGCAAACAGAGTCTACAAGTACATTAAGGTCACAAACTTTACAAACATCAGAAGGGAAAAATAATGTTATTGAAAAAAAAATAATGCTATGCATGATACGAGTTGTCAGTAACACGATACAAAAACTACACACCAAAATTGAGAACACTATTGATAGAGAATAATCAGATGGAAAATGGCAAAATGACCAAATTTGAGGTGAGGAAGGGGGAGGAACTGAATTCTCCCAAGAATTGATATGATGTTTAAGAAAGCAAATCATCAATAACTAACTCAATTTTACACATCAAGATAATGACTAGGTTTTTGAGATGCTATAGTATTCACTTTCCAATTTCAAGTTCTTTTGAGATTTCTCTTGTAAGCCTGAATTGTGTACTGTATGCCAAGGGAAATGGGTATGAGTAACTAGAAGTTTCCTCCAAAGATCCTGCATCACAATATTAGGAGATTAGATGGCTCTAGAGCTAGAAATGATTTTGTTTCTTAGCTATCACATCATATTTCAAAGAAAATGCAAACTCTATTGGTTTGAGTCAGTTACTAGCAGTAGAAAGAAACAATTTAAAGGACAATACGCAAACAAGCATCATCAAACATAGGTTGCATAACCTAGGTAGAGTCTTGTAAGGAGCTAGGGTATAATGTACTAGGATGCTTCATTGCATGGTTTTAAATTGCATTAACTTGAACAAAATTTTGATGGTTAATTAGGACACCACTATTTGGTTTCAAAGATTGAAACAAAAATTACAAAAAGATGACTTATCCACTTGTTATCCAAAGAATCAATCAGGAAGCCAAGCACAGAACGAAAGATTGTAGTATTAAGGGTAGGAAGCATATTTCAGTTTCAATTAATTTATTATATACATATAGGAGAATACTTACTAAGCTAAATGGTTTCATGTCTAAACATCATAGATTTAAACCAAACATACATTATAATTATTGTAAGCATAAAAGAAAAGTGAAAAATCAACCTAGACCTTCTCAACTAAAATAGAGAATTTATTCACAAATTTTTCACTAAAGATAGTCCTCAAACAAGACGATACCTTGAATGTGTTATTTGGCATATTTGAGTAGGATGTCTGTTAATGTAAAATGTTAAGTAAAAACTAAAAAATTCAAGTATTTGAAAATGAAAAGAGGCATAATGAGAACCTCTAGAGATGCTAGATACTATGTCTTATGATGGTGTATAAGGTGGGCTATGACAATTGTACATTCGTCAGAGGACTAAGACAAATTAGAAGTTGCAATGGATTGAATAAAAGGTATTCTAGAAGTTGAAAATCAACGCCGACACCACCATTCAATCCACCGGTTTTCACTCACCAAAATTCCATCATCCCCAACCAAGATCACCCGTTGGGTTGCGTACGCATAGGGGTGCTCGCGTGCAGGGCGCGTGCACGCAAGTGGTAGGCAATATGAAGTTTCAAATTCATGTTGAATTTGTGTGCCTTTGATTGATAATTTTTTGATTGTTGGATGGTTTGTGTGCGCGCAAGGGATAGAATGCTTCATTGCATTAACTTGAACAAAATTATGATGGTTAATTAGGGCACCACTGTTTGATCTAAAAGATTGAAACAAAAATTACAAAAAGATGACTTGTCTGTTATCCAAACTATCAATCAAGAAGCCAAGCACATAATGAAAGATGGAATGTTGGGATCCCACATTGAAAGGGAAAAGGGTGGGCATGTGGGTTATAAAGGCTTGGGCACCCTCCCNAAACGGTTAACCGAAAAACCGGTTTTCTTTAAAACCGGTTCGGTTTCGGTTCGGAAATTTTTCTGAACCGAAAATTCGGTTCGGTTCAGCAAAGCGGTTAACCGGTTCGGTTAACCGCTTTTGAACACCCCTACTGACAGATAAAACATTTCTGAACATACTTGTTAACGTCTCTCTAAAGCCTTAGCCAAAAGTATTGTTCCTCAACTAAAGCTATTGTCTTGTCCCGACCGAGATGACCATTAAGACCACCTGCATGTAATTTGGCAATCAAATGTTCCCGTAGAGATCCTTGAGGAATGCAAAGTTAGTGTTGAAAAAACAAGAAGTCATCCTGTAACAAGTATGGTTCTCTAGCCCATCCATGCGAGCATTGAGCCCAAACTTCCGTAAAGTCTTCATCAGTGGCATAGACATCTTTCAAACATTCAAACCCAATGACCTCTGATTACATGGTAATGAGTAATTTTGCTCACCGACTCAAAGCGTCATCTACCTTGTTCTATTGGCCGGTCTGGTGCTTGATTACAAGAGTGAATCGTTGCAAGTAGGCAACCCATCGAGCATGCATACGGTTAAAAGACTTCTGGTTATTGATATATTTTAATGCTTGATAATCTGTATGCAACATGAACTCACGCTAGAATAAATATTGCTCACAATATTAAATTGTGCAAACCACGACATAAAATTCAAGTGCGTAAGTTGTCCACTTCTGTCTAGCGTCACTAAGTTTTTCGCTGAAGAAAGCCACAAGTTGTTTTTCTTGGGATAACACTGCACTGATTCCAATAATAGAAGCATATGTCTCCACCTCAAAAGCTTCCTCAAAATCAAGTAAAGCTAGTACGAGGGTGGTGGTCAACTTCTCATTGATTAGCTCAAAACTTTGAGCAGCTTCTTCACTCAAGTAAAATTTTCCCTTCTTAAGCCATTTTGTGATTGGAGCCATAATGGAACTAAAGTTGCAGATGAACCTCTTGTAAAAGGTGGCTAGTCCATGAAAGCTTCTTACCTCATTGATTGTCTACGGTGTAGGCCATTGTTGGATGACTTGAATTTTCTTGTTATCCACGTGGATTCTATTGGCACTGACAATAAACCACAAAAACATCAAGCTAGAGGTCATAAAACTACATTTATGGAGGTTAATGAACAACTAATTTTTTTGTAAAGCTTCAAGGATTTTCCATAAGTGTGATAAGTAAGCAGACTCTGATTCATTGTAGATCAAGTTTTCATCAAAATAAACTATCACAAAATGTCCAATAAAAGGTTTTAGAACCTGGTTCATTAGTTGCATGAAGGTGCTGAGAACGTTGGACAAACCAAATGGCATGACAAGCCACTCATATAGACCTTCTTTTGTCTTGAAGGCAGTCTTTCATTCAACCCCTAGTTGGATGCATAGCTGATGGTAACCACTGCGTAGAGCGATATTTGAGAATACATGTGCTTCGTATAACATATCCAACATATCATCAAGGCACGGGATGGGGAAACGATATTTGACGATGATCTTATTGATTGCTCGATTGTCCATACACATCCTCCACATTCCATTCTTTTTAGGGACTAACAATGCTGGTCATAGCATATGAGCTTTTACTTTCTTGTACTACTCCTTTCTTTAATAGCTCCTCTACCATTTCTTGAAAGATGACAAGCTCACTTGGGCTCATTTTGTAATGAGGAAGGTTTAGCAAACTGGTTCCCAAGATAAAATCAATCTGGTGTTGAATATCTCATAGGGGAGGCAATCCATCTGACAATTCTTCAAACATAATATCTTTGAACTCGTCAAGGAGTGGCTGGAGCAACTCTGGCCCATCAGTCAACTAAAACCTTTTTTCTTCATTTCGTATGACCACAGCAAACACGACTCGCTCTTATTTTACTTCTCTCATGAAATTCTTTCGAGTACATATCATAACAGTCTTGGCCGAGTCTGCTATAGGCTTGGACTTAGTGGTTCCACCGAATGGGCAGAGAATGAACTTAATCCCATCTTTGGAAAACATACAGTGGCGGATCCAGGAATTTCACTCGATGGGGGCAAAAAATAAACAAAAAAAATTTAAACCAATCATAACTGTACTTTTTTTTCATTAGGATGAACTTCAACAAAAAGTTACAAAATACAAATACATATATTCAAAAAACACAATTTTTTTACAATTGTCCTCGACGAATTTTCATATTCTGAAAATGTTGGATAATCATCTCATCGTCAATTGTATTAAATACATCTTTCTCAATATAGGTGACCAAACAATCATTCATCCATTTATCTCCCATTTGATTGCGTAACCGACTTTTCACAATATTCATTGCAAAAAAAGCCCTTTCAATAGTTGCAGTCGCAACTGGTAAAACCAATGCAAGTTTCACAAGCTTATACACCAATGGATACAAAATGTCTTTTTTAAACCAAACTAAATTCTTAGCCAAATCACCAATTCCTTATAACTTAGCAAATTCATCACAAGAACGCATGTCAATAACATAAGTCTCAGCCTGGTTCTCAAGTATCATCAACTCAAATGCAGAAAAATCAGATGGATAAAACTGGACAAAAAGAATCAACTTATGTTTGTCAAAAGCAGAGAATGAATTACTTGGATCTAAACATGCCATACAAAGAAGCAACTCAGTAAAACGAGTGTTAAGTTCTTGAAGTTGCATATCTATCACAGTATAAAACAATTCAATTCGATAGTGATGCAAATTTGTCATGTGCTCAACTCTCCGTCGTGGCCGCCCTCGAATTGCAAACATATCATCCATATTCAAAATGGCAATATCATGTTTTTGGCAAAGTAAAGAAACTTCACTCAACAAAGATTTCCATCATTCATCTCTCAACAACTATAACCGTTGTTTGGAAACTTTGACTAGAGCCATAACATTTACAATGTCTTGATCTTTTCTCTGCAATGCTTGTGACAACTCATTAATAATTGCAATGTACTTTTCATCATATGTAAGTTAAATGCAAAATCAAAAGAATAGATTAAATCTAATAGATTACATGCTTCACCCCTTTGTTCAGGATTTAAACCATCTTCTTCAATAACCTCAAGCACATCGCCCACAGAGGATAACAAAAGGATTAAGTTGATCAATGTATAATAATACGAGCCCCAACGTGTATCACCAGCTCGTTTTAGACTTGTCTCTTGATTCAAACCTCGTCCCTTGCTAACTTCACCAATTTCCAGTGCTTGAACAAGTTTATTAATTTGGCTCTCCTGAAGCATGTCTCGACGCTTACATGAACCTCTAACCACATTTATCAGATTAGTAACCAAGCTAAAAAATGAAGCAATAGAAATGTGATTTTTTGCAACGGCTACTAATGTCAACTGAAGTTGGTGAGCAAAACAGTGAACATAATAAGCATATTCATTCTCCCTCAAAATCAAACTTTTCAGACCATTAAATTCTCTTTGCATGTTACTTGCCCCATCATAACCTTGTCCACATAATCTTGACAAACTCAATCCATGTTGACAGAATAATGACTCAAGAGTCATCTTAAGTGATACTGTAGTTGTGTCACTAACATGTACAATGCCAAGAAATCGCTCAAGTACATGACCCTTTTTATCTACATAACGTATGGCAATAGCCATTTGTTCTTTAATTGACACATCACGAGACTCATCAATCAAAATTGAAAATATGTCATCTCTAAGATCACTAATGATAGCTTTTGTGGTTTCATTTGCTGCAGCATTCACAATATCTTTTTGAATCACTGATGCTATCAATTTAAGATTCCCAGGTGCATTCTTCAAAAAAACACTTTTAAAATGTTCATTATGTTGAGCTAGAAAATGAAGAAGTCCGAGAAAGTTACCTTGGTTCTTCGAGTCTTTAGTTTCATCATGACCACGAAATGCCAACCCTTGACGCAAAAGAAATCTAATGCAAACAATGGATACAGTCAAGCGAGTTCATTATTCAGGTTCCTTAAAAATTGGTTTCTTGAGTGTTCAATTGTCCCACAATAATTTTGATTTCTATGGTTCGACTTCTTCAGTTGGGTTTCTGCTTTTGTTGTCTTACTAACTGCTTCATCTAATGTCCACACGGTCTGCATTGCTACCCGATCTTGGATATTGGTTCTCAGGCCATTGATATATCTTGCTACTTGTTATGCATCGGTCTCAATCAAGATGTTACGAGTTGAGTCTTTGAAACTCCTCGGTATACTCTCGGACATAGCGAGATTATTGCTGACAATTCTAATAAAGCTAATAAAGGTACTGCTCGTAGTCGGGTGGAAGGAATCGAGCGTATAATAATTGCTTCATTTGTTGCCAAGTTCGAACTGGGGACTTTCCCTGTTGTCTACAATTTGCTTTGATTTGTTCCCACCATGCAGAGGCTCCTCCTTTGAGTTTGTATGCCACATATTTAACGTGGGATTCGTCCGGGGTATTCATCAATTCAAAATATTTCTCGACTTCTGAGATCCAATCAAGGAAGTCTTTGAAATATAGTGTACTGGTAAAAATCAATAAATCTGCTCTGATTTTGAGGACTGGCGTGGCTCCTACATCTTTTTCATGGTCTGAACCGGATGAGTCATCCCTAGGTGGAGGGGGTTGAGTTGTACCTGTAGGTTGTATGGGATTTGTTCTTGGTTTGGGTGGGTTGTCAACATGCAGATTGCACAACAATGTCATCATCTCACGATGGTTTTGTTGTTGTTGCTCCTATTGCACTCGGTTTTGTTCTTAAATGGCTTGAAGGAGTTGGACAATTGTTGGGTTGGATTCAGCCATTAGACCAGCCAGGAAAAACACTGCTCTGATACCAAATGGCGTAGCGGAAGAGATTCGTTGGAGGAAAAATGCTACCAAACAGGATACTTGCACTAGCAAAATAACCTTAAACTATTCCAAACACCGAGTAGAGGATAAAGAATAACAATTGTTTATTCAAATAAGGGATGACTGATTATATAGCTCTTAGGGGCTATTTATTATCATGACTCTAACTACTTGAGAATAACAAAAGGTAAAATAGCCTACTAGATAATGATTAAAAATGAAAATGATAACTTAGAATAAAACAAATTAAAATGAAAGAAAAGTCATCTCATGCTACGTTGATGTTTATCTATTGGTCTATGCTTATCCTATGCTACTTTGGTGCTACGTGTCTCCTACTATGCTATCCCATGCTACATCAGTGACTATTGGGTGAGGAGTTAAAACCAGCAACTACCTTCATCAACAGGCATGACCCAATATATGGGCTTAACCATGAGGAGTGTTAGAGACCCACACCGACTAAGCACGCTCAAGCCCACTGGTTTATAAAATGAGGTAATCCTCCATTTCAACAAGGTCTTATTGGTTAGGAGTCATGCCCACCTCAAATTCTATCATTATTGAAACTCTTGTGTGCAGTTGGCATGGGTTTAAAAATACAATGTTTATGGTTTTCTTTAGCTGCTGATAATTCCACTTCACATTTGCTTTGGTATCTGTGGAAAATTTTCAATGTCAAGAAGATGATATCATAGTGTGTGTGGAGTTGTGTTGGGTTTGCAGTGGCGGTAGGGTTTAAGTGGAATAGGATAGTGTGTCATTGTAAGTTGATATATCACTAACTTTGTATTTCCTTTTCAACTTTTGGATGCAGTCTTTGGAGTCGTGGAACATGGCTGAGAATAAGAGCATGACAATTGTTGCTCATGACAATATAATCTCAGCATTGGCACGGTCACTTGTGACAGGAATGGTGGCGTTTACAAGTCATGACAACTCTATTAAGTTGTGGAAGTAAATCCTCCATGATGCAATGTTAAAAAAAAAAACCTTTCTTATGTAATGACATGATAGTTTGTATGGTTTCTTAGGGTGATGATGTTGAGAGTTAGAAAATTTGTTGTTTAAGTTTCCAATTTCGGTTAAGTTTGTGAAAACCTTTTGCTTGGATGTTTCAAAAGTATAGGAAATTTTTGGTATGGGGTTTGGTGGATAGGGAACGAGAAGGGGAATTTCTCCCACAGGAATGAGGCGAGTAAAATGATTTTTCCCCATAGTGCGGGGACGGGGACGAGAGCCAGCCTCGCTATCAATCAAGTATATAAACAATTGTGCATATTGACATCACATTTGTTTTCTTCAAAAAGAAAAAAAGAATAACAAACTTATAAATTATGTAAATATGCAAATCAATTGAAAGTTAAAAACAATAAAATATGATAAAATAAACCCAAAGAATTTAATGCATATATGTTGTTGATCTAGCTCATTTTATCTTGATTATTTCAAAATAAAACTAGGGTTTATGATGTAGGAAAAAAAAAAAAAAAACTTAAATTTTAAATTAATAGCAAAAGACTTATTCTAAATGAATTATGTATAAAATACTTTTGACTTTTATTTAGTAATATTTTATAAAGAATAAAATTGTAATTAAGTAGAAAATAATAATTGGGGTCAACTAAGATAACACCCGAGGGGGGGGGTGGCTCTGGGCTATTGCATCACTTAATTTAAAATATCTTTTCCAATTCAATTCAATTTTCATTTGAAGTTAAAGAAAAAAATATTGTTAAGAAGTGTAGTTTTGAAAAAAATCATAAAGTATATACAGAAATTACTTAAAATATTCCCCTAGATAACCATCTTTACTAATTTTAATTTTTAAAATGTTAAAGGTTTGTTTAAAGGATAAATTTAGCCACAAAATTACATGATTTAACCTAATTCCCCTTAATAAAATATATCAAGGACAAAAATGGTCATAATACGCTAGATTGTGTAGTTTAGCCTGGTCTAGTATGGGCTAACATACTTTAATTAAACTGTTAAAGCATATTGCTAAATGCTAGGCTCGGGTTAGACTATCGAGTCTAGCATTATATATTAGTGATATATTATTTGTTGTTTCATTAAGAGTACAATCTATAAGTCATTGGATTTTATGGTTGGAATTTTTAATTTAAATAAAACCTACACATTTCATGGAAGTATGATTATTGAATTGACTATATATATCCAAACCCTAAATTAATTGTTGGTTTAGGCTATTGTAACACAAAATTTTGACATAGATTTATGACACATATTCATAGTTATTGATTCAATGTAATCCAACGGATTTGAATGAGAAGCTAGTGTTAGTTAATTTTTAATGCCAACTAAACAATTTTTAAGCTATTAGATTTGTGTCACAAACTATATCAAAATTTTGTATTACAATAACTTGACCTTTTTTTCTTAAAGGTAATACTATATTTACAAAGAAATCTTACAAAGATCTTCATACAAAGTAATGTGACAAAAAAAAGAATAGAAGAGTAAATATAATGAGTTTTTTGTTTTACTCTTCTATTTAATTTTTGTCACATCACTTTATATGTGTGTAAGATTTTTTATAAGTATAATATTATTGTTTTTTTTTTTTAATATTTTTTATTTAAAATATAGCTTACAAAATAAGAATTGCAACTCACAAAGAGGCTTGGGCCTCAACCAAGTGTAAAAATGGGCTCATAATTTAAAAAGCCCAAGTCTCACTGTTGCCATAAGAGCCCACGCCTACCACACGTCAGGTGCGCACTACGCATNTTGAAGTGAAAAATAAATAATTGCAAAATTGCCCAAGTATATATAAATGCAAAAGGTTGCATTTTTGTTCATAACACACATTGTTCACTCAAAGCAAAACCAAAACTCTCTCTAAAAGCCACGACCACTCTCTAAACCTCTCAAGGTGGTGTTAAAGTGTGGAGGTCTCATTACTTTGAGGCTGATCTTCATCAATCCAAAGCAAAAGAGTAGGTATAATCTCTTTTCCTAGCTTTGTTTGAAAACCGGTTTTTTGAATCCAATTTTTTTTATGCTTTCTTCTCCATTTCCACCACTCTTCATGCATGCATGATGATCTTTCAATAGATTGACCTGCTAATGAACTTTAGTGCTTGCTACTAGTGAAGGCGGCCCTAATGTCAACAAAGCAGCATGATGTAAATTGTATTTGATTTCTTTTTTATTCCAAGGTGATGTAAATCGTATTGAATCTGAAAACTGATTTCTTCTTTGTAATTAGTTATTAGAAAAGTGATTGAGTTGAATTCCATTATTTTGCCTTCGCATGTTTCAGGAGAAGAAAGGAAAATTGGCATCTTCTCATCACAGATTGATAACCATGGATGTGAACTACTTGTTAATACAAAAGTTGATCATTTCGAAGATTCAGCAAATTCCTCTACTGCAGTTTCTGCGTCTGCTAGTAAAGTTGGAATTCTTCAATATATGGAGCAATTGGAGTCTGTTTCACTGATTTTAAATAATGGCACCCCTATTTCCAAACAAAACTCTGTTAGAACTGTTGCTGCAATTAAAAAAAAGTTCCCTGAAAACAAGCTTAACAAATTGCAAGCAGATTTCAATTGCTGATGTAAAATGTACTGCCTGCAAGCAGCTGCTTTTTAATCCGGTGGTTCTTAACTGTGGCCATGGTACACTTATACACCTTTCTTAAATTAGCCAAATTATGTGTTCCTTATGTTTCAGTTTGCTGTGCAGGGAACAAAAAATCTATGCTGATATTAATACTTTTTTGTATTTTTCTCTGTAATTTTTCAGTATACTGTGAAACTTGTATCATCAAACCAACTAATGAGAAGCTCATGTGTCAAGTTTGTCAATGCTTGAATCCAGGGGGACTTCCAAAAGTTTGTTTGGAGCTCAATCAATTTTTAGATGAGCAACTTTGCAAAGAATATGCAGCAAGAAGAGATGTTGTTGAGCTCACAAAAGCCCTAAGGAAGCATGAAAGCACTACAATGTGCATGTCTCAGTGCTGAATTAATTCATCCTATCTCCTGTGCATGGCTACGCTAATTTTTTTTTCCCAGTTCTGCTTGCATTGATTTTATATGCTTTGTTTGCCCCACTTTTTCTTTGCCATGTTTTACATTCTGCATAGTTCAAGGTGTGTTACTTGTACTGATGGCCTGTGTTTTCAGGTTGCATGAAATCTGGTAAACTCCGGTCCCTAGTGAATTCTGGAGAAGATATAACATGGTGGGCAGACCTGCACCCAGCGGTTCATGTTAAATTTGGTTGTGATTCTTGTGGGGTAAATTTTTCTCGTTTCTATCATGCTTACAAGATATCTTCCATTTTAGTAGCATGATCTAATCAATATCATCTTCCGTGATCCTTCTTTGATTGCCTCTATCTATTTGTCTATGAAAGTGCAGTCTTCTTGCTAAACTGCTAGTGTATAGGGCATATGTTGGTACTAATTTACCCTGGGAGTAGATTTACTATGATCAGCACCTTTATTTGCTTCAGTCTGATTAATGCTTGAAAGTTAGGCTAGCCTTTTTTATTTAGGAGCTAAAATGGTAAAGATGTTTATGTTTTTGCTAATATCCCTTATCATGACTACAAATAAAATTTTGTATGATGATTTTGTAAATAATAAGAAAATTGCAAATGTGTAAAATGTTATTATGAAGCACATTCAACAGGCACACATGTGCTGGTGACTAAATATGTTAAGAGAGTTGATGCATTGGACATACTGTATTATTAGTGTTAATGTTGATATGATAGCTTGGCATGTCTAAGCACTCTGGATGTTTCCCATATGGAGAAAGATTTTTCCTCTTTTCGGGGTTCAAAAGTTATTTTGGTGTCTTTTACTTCTATGGAAGAACTTTCTTATTCTGTATCTGGAACACAGTCATGCTTAACCTTAGTGATGTCTACCGTCCACCATGTTGATTTAATATATTAAGTTTTGTTCTTGGATCTTGCTGGGAATCGTTAGTCATGTTCTTCATGTAGCTGGTAAACAAAATGTTGGATTACAACTATTTGCAAGCCACTAGCACCCGAAAAATAATTATTTTGTTGAGTTCAAATGCTTGTCGCAAAATAACACCCAAATTTGTTTCGACAAATGTTTCCAATAATTGGGGAAAGATACAAGTGCATAGATTGTGTGGAAGCTGTTGGCTTCGATCTTTGTGGGCATTGTTACCATACTAGGTCCATCATTCCAGGACGGTTCAATCAGCAGCATACCCGGTTGGAGCTTGTGAAACCAAAAAATATTCACGATATGATGGTAAGTGTAGACGTAAAAATCTACTTGTACGGAAAGGGGGGTCTGATCCTACGGGGTTGAGGCCACTAGCGATATGCTGTACCTGCACATGTAGGAAACACACGCGTGAACCGAACAGGAAACACTGGGGTGGTGTTTGCCATAGGCACTCCGATGCTCAAGTTAGCAAGACTGAAAGGCTAATATAGTGAGGGCTAGGGAGTAAAAGGTTACCGGAAGTCTAGTCGGGGACTGTGACTATGGCGGTGATGCGAAGCTCTCAAGTCAGAGCTTTCGCTGTGAAGGTAGAATGTAGTCCCTTCTGAGAGGGTTGGCCTCTGCTTATATAGTGATTGTCTGGTCTCCCAATCCTGGTAGAAGTAGGAGTCCTAGTATGACTCTAATGCAAACCCTAGAAGAATTAGGGCCGTGGTAAGTTGTCTTACCAGTGTCCGAATAGGAAGGTGATTCTGATTAGGAGAGTAACTTCGAGCAGGAAAGTGATCAGGAGTAGGAAAGTATTCTGAGGGGGTCGTGGGCTCTAGATTCACCCATGGACCTAGGAAATGGACTGGGATTAGGAGGCTCGTGCCCACGTGGTTTGGGCCGGCTATACATTGTACTGAATGGGCCTAATCCGATAAGGTCATATCAGGATTGGGCCTGGCTTCTTCTTCATTGTCACATCCGTTTTCCTATTTAGGCCAAGGACGATTTTTGGCCCTAACAGTTTGCCCCCCACTCTCTAAGTTAAGAGTGTCTTAAGTCAGAGAGTAGGAAGCGATCGATGGGCGCTCCGTCGTCCTTTCGGGATAACCGGTTGTTGGTGTAGCTAATCCTGCGGGTGACTTTTATCCCGGGGTCGTTCGGTATCCACTGCCGATCCGGAGTAAGCCATCATTGGAGTGTTGTGCCCGATCGGTGTGAAGGGCCGAAGGACGGCCAACGAGACTTTGGGGGCTCGTAAGCTCGTTCGGTACGTCCTGCCGACAGGAGGGGTGAGGTGTTTCTATTGTCGCAGTGTCCGCTCGGTGGGCTGGGTCGGATGATCATGACCGTTGAACTGGATGGTTTCTTGGTCGGGGTGTTTAGGCGATCGAAAGAAAGAAATATGCGAGCTTTAGCAATTGGATGTTGGTTCGTCCGCTCCGGAAGGACGAATGGGTCGTGCCCATACCTTTTTATCTTCAGAGATCGGGCCGGCCGTTCCCAGGCAATTCGGCCAGTCGGGAGGCTTGCTTGGACTCCTGAATCGTTGGCTGCTATCAGGTCCTAATCTGGCGGTCGCGGGTCGGCTCGGTCGGGGAGGTAGGGCGATTGGAGCTGATCGTGCAGATTCTTAGGTACCATGGATGCTTGCCACGTGTTCGGTAGATATCCAATCCTGGTTTTCGAGGCGGGAAAACGAAAAGGCGCTCTGACTCATAGCCAATCGTGGGCTACCACGCGTTTTAACCTGTTAGTTTTTCTTTTAAAAACGAGTGAACAGGCCGTTCGTCTCCCATTTGCAGTTCGTCTCCCATTTGTAGTTTTCCTCCATTTTTCTTCAGCAATTTTTTTTTCTTCTTTGTTTTTGGTTTCATTTTCACGTCGACAGCTTCTCTCGGTAGACTCCGGCTTTTTCACAGTAAACCTTCTTCCTTTAAGGGGTTTTTTTGTTTCTTCTTTGCGTTTGTTTTGGAAGCATAGGGTGAAGTTTTTAAGTTTTGGATATTTTTGACTTGTTCTGAGGAGTTTGGAGTACCGATTTTTAGAATAGGCGTGAATTTTGGTATTCCTGGTGGCTTTCCGGCAAGCTGGCTGGTTTTTTTGGTGTTTCTCTGGATATTTTGGATGGAATTTGGGAAGGCGAAGTCGGGTTAAGTGTGCGTTCGTTCGGTCGGTCTGCCTGACCGAACAGGGTGCCATCTTGGAGTTGTAGGTGAGTTAGGTCATCCAGTCCATCCAACTGAGGGGAGGGGTGTGCGGAGTGGATTAAAGAGTCGGTCGGTCGTCCAGACCGAGCGGGTGATTGTGTTGCTAGACCGGCGAGAAAGGATTAGTAGTGTTTAAGCTGACCTTGAGGACTAGTTGGTCGCTCAGGGCGAGCGAGGGGATACTTTGATAAAGGATCCGCTGGGTCGGTCACCCGGGGCGAGCCAAGGAAGGCGAGAATCAAGAGCTGGGTCGGTCGACCTGGAGGGTCGACCAAGGTTTAGGTTAAACTTCTCCGAGTAGGTAGGCTGGTACTGAGAGGCGAGTGGTAACTCTTTCTGATCTTGGTAGGTCGGTGTCTCGGGTCGGGTGGTTGATACTTAGCGTTTTTGGCAGCCAGGGGCGAGTCTTTCGATCGGTCTGTTGGGTTGGGCGATCGAGCCAACATGTCAGATTCTGAATCGGCTAGTTCGAGCGGGATTGTGGCGGACTCAGGGGATGAGTATGAGCGTGCCCCGACTATAGTGATGATGCTCGAGGGGGGCGTTCCTGTGGACGTGCCGAGTGAAGATAGTATAGCCACTCCAGGGTCGAGTGAGGCTGGGCCGAGTGGCTCGGGCAGGCATGGGAGGAGTGGGGAAGACTCCGAAGGGGTTGATAGTCCATCTTCTTCCGGAAGTGGCTCTAAGGAAGAGCCGAGCCAACAGGGTAGCGGGATTTTGACTAGAGATTATCTGCCCGTGCTGAAAGATAGTGATATATGGCACATCTGGACCTTGTATCACATTCCAAGCTCTGTTGATATCCGGATGCCGCGGTCGTACGAGCAAGTTGATTGGGAGGCAAAGGACTGGATCAGTGTTTACGAGAAGTGGTTTCATGACGGGTTGAGGTTGCCTGTGCCTCGCCTCGTCTGGGAGGTACTGAACCACTTCATGATTGCCCCGTCTCAGCTTATGCCGTATGCTTGGAGACTGCTAATGGCTTTGGAAGACCTTTGCGTTCGGAACCAAGTGAGGTTTGGGTTGCACGAGCTGCTGTATTCCTACTTCTTAAAGGAGAACGATAAAGAGAAGGGTTGTTACTTGTTGAACTTGAGGCACGATTGGTCTCACTTGGTGACCGACCTACAGTCCAGTGATAAGAACTGGAAAGACCGATATTTTTACCTGAGGGGTCAAGTTGTATTTGGAGAGAGAGGACAGGGCGAGATCCCGATCGGCTGGCGAGCTACTGGTGAGAGCTTAGTTGTTTCATTCGTACTTTGATTACTAAATCTTGATTGTGTTTTTTGTTTGTAGAGCTTGAGTTCAATCGGGCTGGACAGAGCGGGGACGGCTTGGACGTAGCGACCCAGAGGGTGTTAGTCATCCCATTAGAGCAGAGGGATTGGCGAGTAGTGCTAGCAGAGTCCAACCTGAGGACCAGCATTCTTTGGGCCGGGGTAGAGGCGATACAGAGAGGTACTCCCTTCCCCTCGCTGAAGCAGACTTGGGATGTGCTCCTGAGTCGATACTGCAACCATATCATTTTTGGTGAGTCTGAGCTGAACCCACTAACCGTTGGATAGTTTGCACTTGCAGAGTCGCTGATGAAGAAGTTGACTGTCCCGAGCGCGAGTGAATCTATCGCCTGACACCACGAAAAGAGGAGGAGGGAGTCTTTAGCTAGGGAAGACAGAAGAGCAGATGATGCGCTAGTGACGCCATCGAGTCAGCAGCCTCCGAGTCAGTAGCCTTCGGTTGGAGCCAGGTCGTCCCAGACCACGGTTGTGGATGAAGAGGCTGGAATGATTACCATCACGATTCCGGCTAATGCGTCGACTTACTCTGATGCCACTACCATGAGTAAGTTGGCCGACTCATTTTTGTTCCTGGCGGACGAGGCGCGGCTTAACCAGATGGGTGCAGTTGCTGCGGCTGATTGGGGGGTAGCTTGCGTCGTTTAGGTATTCAGTAGAGTTTGGTGATTTCTGTTTCTAAGCCTTGTTCTGATTGCAATATTTTGTTGTGCAGGTACTTACTAGCAGTCTTCACCTGAGAAAGTCTATTGTGGCGCAGGAGAGACGTATATAGGATGTGTCTAAGGCCAACACCAGCCTGCGCCAGAAGGAGATGGCGGCCCGAAAGGCTGAGCAAGAGTTTCAGCATCGTCTGAGGGATAGAAAGCATGAGATCGAGAGACTGAGGCGTGAGTTAGCCGAGAGAACCGCAAAGGTCGAGTCTCTCAGGGAGCAGTGCATCTCCATTGCTGATGATGCTATCATTAAGGCCTGAGGTGAGCTCATGCTGGAGTTCAAAGAAGGACGGACCTCTCATTGGGATCTGGATGAAGACATCTTGATTATGTAGGAGTTACTGGACGAGGGAGGTAGTCATCCGGGAGGGCAGGACGACGAGCAGGTGCCTGACCTCAGCCAGCCGAGGCTATCGGGTGTTGACGATGCGAGCGGTCAGGGTGTTGGGCCGAGCGCTGGCAGTGCAGATATGGTGACCGATTCGACGATGGGGGATGAAGCTCATGCTCAGGATACCTAGCTTTTATCTTTATTTATGTGTTTTGGGGGCCTGCGATGCCCTTTTGTCTGGCGTGTGTGCCATTTTTTTGTATTCTAAACTGGGCCGTTTGATGCTATATATTAACATTTGACCATTTTTGACTTCTGATGCTGTCTCCTTGGATGAATGAATTGTTGTTTCTTTACTTGTAGGTGCACTACGTCATGTATGTTACTTTAGAGTGGCCCAGTGACGAGGGCATGTAGGTCTTCTGTTGGGTCGGGTCAGTGCTTTGCTTGTCATTGGTGTGAAGACCATTCATTCGGTCTGGTCGACTGAGTGTACATTCCCGTGGATGAACGAAGTCAAGCTGGAGTTGATTTCTTGGGTCGGATCAGGCCGACTGGGTGGTGTGAATCATAAGTCGTGCTGAATTTCGTAGATCAAGTGGCGCCAATACGAAGGTGCAACTCGTGAATCGGGAAGGGTCGATCCGAGGATGTCATTGTAAATCAATCAGGGTCAATTCGAAGGTGTACGTACATTTATCGGGCAGGGCCGATTTGACGGTGTCAGTATGTTTATCGGGCAAGCCGATTTGAAGGTGTCTGTACGTTGATCAGGCGGGCCAATTTGAAGGTGTTCGTACGTTTATCGGGCAGGCCGATTTGAAGGTGTTCGTAGGTTTATCGGCAGGCAGGTCGATTTGAAGGTGTCCGTACGTTTATCGGGCAAGCCGATTTGAAGGTGTCCATACGTTTATCGGGCAGGCCGATTTGAAGGTGTCTGTATGTTTATCGGACAGGCCGATTTGAAGGTGTCCGTAATTCATTGACCGGGGTCGATTTGGAGACGAAAACTTCTGAATAGTACTTCATTAAATATCTGGCCATGAAGCCGACTGTCTAAGAGGAGATGGACAGGCCCACTCATCCCTTTAAAAGAAAAACAAAGTTCACCTAGTGATAGTAGCGTTTGAGGTGAATGGCATTCCAACCGTTGCTGATGTATTTGCCCTCGGGGGTCTGGAGTTTGTAGGCACCCTTCCCTACTGCTTTGATTATCTTGTAGGGACCTTCCCAGATGGGACTGAGTTTGCCAGAGTTGATCTCCTTGGTGTTTTGGAAGACCTTGCGGAGGACCCAGTCGCCTATCTTGAAAGTACGGATCCTCATGTTGCGGTTATAATGTCGAGCGGCCTGTTGTTGGTAAACTGCGTTGCGGATGCTCGCCCTTTCCTGTAACTCGTCCACAGTGTCTAGGTTCTGGCAAAGGTTGTGACTGTTTGATTCCTCGTCTGCCCATTGAAGCCTGGTGGACGGAACTGATACTTCAGCTGGGATGACTACTTCGGAACCGTATGTCAGGGAGAACAGAGTTTCACCAGTTGATGATCGAGTCGTGGTTCGGTATGACCAGAGGACTCCGGGTAGCTCGTCTACCCATGCGCCCTTAGCTTTCTGTAATCATTTCTTCAATGTCTGTATGATGGTCTTATTTGATGACTCGGCTTGGCCGTTAGACTGGGGGTTGCGGGGTGTTGAGAAGCTCAACTTTATTCCCCACATGTCACAGAAATCCCTGAAGTCTGAACTAATGAACTGGGACCCATTATCAGTGACAATCTCTTTTGGTATTCCGAACCTGCAGATTACATTCTTCCAGATGAAGGTTTTTACCTTTCGGTCTCTGACTTGTGTGAAGACTTCGGCTTCGATCCACTTGGTGAAGTAGTCTATCACAGCCAACATGAAGACTTGTTGCCCCGGTGTAGTAGGTAGCTTTCCCACGATGTCCATTCCCCACTTCATGAATGGCCAAGGTGTGAGAATGGAATGGAGTCGTTCTGGTGGGAGGTGTGAGGCGTGGGCAAACCTTTGACAGCTGTCGCACTTCTTAGTGTAAGTGGTCGAATCGGTGCGTATGGTCGGCCAATAGTATCCCGTGGTGATCACTCGGTGTGCAAGACTGCGCCCTCCCGCGTGGTTGCCGCATTCGCCTTCATGGAGTTCGGCTAGAACACTTTGGGCTTCTTCTAGGCTTATGCATTTCAGATAAGGGCCCGAGAATGACTTTCTGAGGAGTTGGCCCTCATGTATGGTGAATCTGGCGACTCTTGCTTTCAGTCGGCATGCTTCGTTCTTGTCAGCCGGGAGCTCATCGTCTTCCAAGTATCTTATTATCGGGGTCATCCAGTAGTCGGCTTGTTCAACGCCCATGGCCTCTACGGGAGACTTGTTCGGTGGTGGTTCCTTCCAGTTGGCTGGCCACTGCATGAATAAGAGGGGAATGGATGACTGAGAAGAACATAGGAGTGCCGAGCCAAGGTTGGCGAAGGCGTCGGCATGGTAGTTCTCAGCTCTGGGGATCTATACGATTGAGAACTCTTCAAATTTGGCCTGCAGCTCTTTGACCATGCTCAAATAGGATGTCATCTTTAAATCGCGTGCT